TTGCTTTATATCTGTAAGATCCTCTCAGCCATCCTCATTAAGCTTCCATCGTACAATAAGTGTTCAAACAGTAGATACTTCTTTTGAAAGCTGACAAGGGAAAGAAGTTCCTGACCAACTCTAATATAGTATATTCAATACCCATAAGATAGATGGTGGTACCTCCGCCCAGCTTCCATGATTGTCAGAAATTTTCTTCTTTAGAAAGTTTATTATTAGTTTGTTTGCGGCTACTTTTTGTCTGTGTTTTATGATAATGCATGGATGAGAAATTGCGAATGTCATTATATACATAAAAGTCTATTATCTTTTCACACAAGAATTGAGCGCCATTGTCTTACTATGACAATAGGCAGCCCAAATCTTATGAAGACAGACCATAAAAAATTGATGACAGCTTATTATCTTTTTACACAAGAATTGAGGGCTGCTGTCTTACTATGACAATAGGCAAACCAAATCTTATGAAGACAGACCATAAAAAATTGATGACATTTTCAAAAATTGGCTAAGCCAACACAACTACTTCAACAAATTTCAGGAGGTAATCCAACGCCACCAAGGCAAATCAACGTTACTTAAATGCCACAGTAAAATATATTTCCCACAGAATCAACAGATAAGGAGATGTGTTCCATTGCAATAGTTAACTCGACTACTGAAAGGCATGACCATGCAATTAACAACTTAACCACCTCTTTATGAAATCCTCGATAAAAGTTGTTTTTAGTCTAGATTTTGGCACCCCCCATAAAAAAAAATAGATCTTCACCTTATTACAAGAAACTGAGAATATAAGTGGTAGTAGAACATGCCTTCCATTTATGAAAAAAATCTCGCAGTCTTTGTCCAAGACAAGCTAGTTAGACTTCTGAAGATCCCTGAAAAGAGGAGAATTATATTTCTCATATTCAGAGATAACCTGGCTAAGGTTGATGAGTTTGTCTGTCATCTTTTGCACTACTTGAATTGACTAGATAACTTCATCTCTAGATCCACCTTAATCTTCTAAGAATTTTCTTTTATACAGTCTATCACCACAAAGCAACCCAAAACTTTACTTAATTGAGTTACAAATAAACACTTAATGGTATTTAGTGCTCTACCTTCATAACTAGGAAAATACTTGAAAAGGTTTATCAATTGATCGCTGCTTAAGCTATTAATAAGGACGTTGCCACGTATACTTCCAAATTTCAACTATTTTATGCTCGAAAATTGTGAATAAGCCTTTGGTAAGTAGGTCCAAAATTCATTAGAGAAAAATCATGAATTTACAACAAAATATTCCTTTATCAATAATCAAGCATGTATTTTCTTCATATTTGGGGAGCATCCTTATCTGGTTGTATCCAAGAGCGTATCAACAAAGCCTAGAGTTGAGAATCCCAATATTGAGAGACTATTGTTTCAGCATTTTACAAAAAAAAATAAAATCCTTCAAACAAGTGCAATTGAGCTTTGATAAGTCAATGTGCATCCATCATTTTCTACTAGATCTCTTTATCATAAAAACTTAAATCACAACATGGTAATCCACTTCTCAGAAGAGGCTTGCCTTAAGAAGCTATATTGATCTACTTGTGGATTTAATCTTGTTTGATAACTTTCTTTCTTTTTTATGGCATGGCTACCCATTTTGAAAAAACAATGAATTTCTATGTTAATATCAACTCTGAGCATCTCGGATGATTTCCAAGAAAATGCATCTATATTACTAAGAAAAACAAGGTATGTCGAGTATACCAAGTATATTGGCATATGAGTTGACAAAACCTTTTCTCAACGAGTCCTCTCTCATTTGGAAGTACCTTTGTAAGTTCTCTACTTCAATTGTTTTTCTCTCATTGGCACTGTCTTCCTTAACATAATTAAGACGAGACTTCCAAGATTGGATGAGATAATAGCAACAATTTACCTCAAACAATCAAAAGCTCAAGATGCTCATCACAATCCCTTCCAAGATAAAGAAAGAGGAAATTCATAAAACTCAATTTTATCATAATGTGAAAAACTTCAAAATAATTTATAACAATCGAGATAACAAGTGTTTCATCATAAATGATCCTAAACAACAGCAAACCATTGTCTAAGAAATTTAGTAATGGTGCAAACAAAGAAGTGGATAAATGTACTTTGAATTGTGTGAGCGTGGTTAAGATTTTACGCTAGGCTACTTCAAGTCAAGCCCCCAAATAATGGTTTGCACGGTATCAACAATGATTTTGATGCTCACTTGGATATACCAGGCTGGGCTTCCTCATATCACTTTTCATCTCAGAAGAAACTCTTTTAGGTGTATGTCTTTTATCAATATATAAAATAGAGCCTTGTACACTATGCATTCCTCGATGTCATGACTGTGTTTTTTATGATACAACCAAAACTCAAGACTCTTCAATTTCTTAAGCTAACTTTCTAAGTATTCTCAATTTTAAATAATTTTCATGCCAAGAACTAGTGTTTCATGGATCCATCAGCTATGATCTATATGATCTTATGAAATGGCATCCCAAGTGTAATAAATCAATCTGCTTATTTTTTCCACCAGATATGATGGAAGGTTGCTTCCACTGATGCTGATGTCCTGGTACTCTATCGTACCAAGAAAATTAGTGAAGTTTCTGGCAAGCACTTCAATTCTATAACAGATTACTCTACACTGATTAACTTTATTATTTTCAAAAGTAAGTTTTCCATGGTATTGGGAAAGTTTTTATAATCGAGAATTTGAAAGTCTTAGGTTGCAGACCCAGACTAAAAAACAACTTTTACCAAGGATTATCATCATCAATTACATGATAAGAGGCTTTGTTTAACTTTAATATGCATTATAACAGGATTTCACATTCATTCAGCTTGAAGTAGAAACAAGGAATGAGAGGGGGCTTCAATGGCATAGCGGATGCAAAAAAAAATTAAGGGGAAAAAACATGCATAGAAGAACTCTTCAAAAGAGTTGATACTAGAAGATGGCAAGGAAATTACACTACCCCAGATGGAACAATTGAAGTTGTGGCAAATATATGACAATTAATAGCATCGAATATGTTGTACATAAACAAAACAGTCTCAAAAGTATCCAGATGATTAGAAGGGCCAATGTTACCTTTATATAGCTTAAGTTGTGGAAGGTCAATGGAAATGGAAAGTTATGATTAATCATAATACTTTTTCCCTTGTCAAGAGGCTGATAGTTAGCCAACAAGAGCATAATGAAATGGGCAAGTGGCATGAACAGTCTCAGTTATGGTAGCTAGCAGCTAAAGGATACGCTTGACTTGAGTCCTGAGTTGTGCATTAGTAAACATGTTATTGCCCGAAGGTTCTTCAACCTAATGTTCAGTCATGCATGAGGACTCAAAATGAGCGCCTCTTCTGAAAATTATCTTCTATCACATCTACTTCATGGGCTACAGTCAAATACCTACAAACGGCTCTACAGATGTGAGGGCAGGAAACTCTTTTAGTCCCAAGACGACTTGAGAACACAAATCAAGAGTTCGAGATTTAGAAAGCATACCAAACCTGGATTACTCTACTAGGGGGCAGAAAAAAAAACACATACGGCGACAAAGGAAAGAGTACACAAGATCTGCAGGTTTTGATACACATTTTGAAACCCAATAAAAATGTTGACAATGCTTTAAAATAAGGGGAAAATGTAATATAAAAAAAATCTGCTCAAGCCTCGAAAAAAAATGTCCACAAGAAATGTAGATTAATTCATCATTGCCGAGCTGCTGCAAAATACAAAGCGATACTCATTGGTAGTTTCTAGAGAATCCTCTCAAAAACTCTCAAAGGATGATTCTGATCGGCAAAATTATGATAGATATTTAGGTAGTCTGCCACATAAACACAACATGGCGAGAGATGTCAGCCATTCAATGGCATTCATACTTAAATTAGTTCGCTCAATTCAGCATGAAATGTCAGCCATTAGCATACTTAACCCATCAATTTGCTCAATTAAGTCATGATGATTCAGCTCCCATTATTAGGATAAACAACACTATCAATACCATGACATAGTAAAAGACTTAATAATGTAGGCCATTTGACCTCCCTTCCTCCATCTAACACTCTCTCAAGTAGCTCTCCCTCTCCCTCTTAAGCCAATAGAAATACGGAGGCAAATGAAAGGTTATAGCATTGTCCCTTTATACTGAGCGGCTATAACTTGATTACTCCCAGTGTCTCTCTTCAAAAGCTAGCCAAAAACTAAAACCTCAGTCAGCTTGAACGAGAGAAATGAGATCAAAATTGTCCCTTTATACTGAGTGACTTGTTAATCATTTGAGGAGACGTGCTGCTATAACTTGATTACTCCTCCCAGTGTCCCTCTTCAAAAACTAGCCAAAAACTCCTAACCTCAGTCAGGTTGAACGCGGAAATAAAGTTTCCTAAATTTCCCAAAACAACTTTCCATTTTATTAAAGGCCTGATCCACTTTGACCAAGCACAATTGTAATGCTGCCAGTGAATATGACTTCAGAAAACACTCTGAAACAACAAGTTTAAGTTCTACATGGTAAACCCCCAAAATTGATCAACCAAGTTCACCAAAAGTTCAGGAAACCATAAATTATCACTTCCAAACTAAACCCAACCAAACTTGGTGAAGATCTTAAACCTTTCGCTTAACTGGGAATGTTGGATCATGATAAAATGGTTTTAAAAAGACATCGGCTATGATAAAAAATTAAAAAAAACAAAATTAATACAAAAGATTGGGCTGGTACAGAACAAAATCTTCACAGCAGTAAGGCAGCAATGTTAAAGGTCACAGCACCTTAATCATGTCCAGCTGTCTCTCGACAAGTTCTTGGTTATTTGAGCTAGTAAGGCTTCCAGACCATGTAAATACCGTATTGCCACTATGTAAAATGTAGCAATAAGAAGAATTCAGAGATGATGACACCTGGAAAAAGAAAAAATAAGAAACTACAAACAGATCGAGAACATTAATTGAGTTTAGGAGTAAAATGTACCGGTTTAACTTGAATTGCTTGCATATTATCAGGTCCAAAACCTTGAACTCTAAACAAAGCAATGCCGTCAGGAGAATAAGTCTCATCTTCAATGGCATTCTCCTTCCTGAACTTTTTGTATCCAGAGCTCATGCCACCCTGCAAGATTAAACTAAAAAAAGACATCAGAGGTGTTTTCCAGTTATACCCTTCTGGTATACTATGGAGCTTCTAGAAACCATACAGCTTAAATAAACTTTGAAAATACAGAAGAGTATGTAGTTTAGAAAATAACCTTAAATACAATCAAGCTCTGGAATATTGACAAAAACTGGGTAGGCTCCTTTCCCTCATAAATGCGAGCCTAGAAGAAGTTCATAAGCGAGAAACTGAAGATTACAACATGGTATAAAAAATCAAACTGAAATCCATCAGAAACTAAAAGTTTACTTGAACAGCCTGGAACTTTAAGGATTCGACCATATTTGTGGCAAGTGAAATAGCTGCAGCCCTCTCTTCCTGGAATTAATTCACAAGAAAACTCAGTACATACCAATAGAATTTTTTTTTAAGATCAAAGCTAGCAATTTTCCAAATAAAAAAGTTGAGTAATTTTAGCCCAAAACAACTTTATATTCTCTTCCAAAGCTGATTTTGCTTGAGGAAGCAACAGCTTGGAACCAAAAATAAACATAACGTGTGCTACAACTAAGAACTGAGTTTTCAGATAACAATCACAAAAATATGCATTTGAAGTTAACAGATAACAATGTAGGAATAACTTTAAAAAATTGCACTAAAAAAAAAAATAAAACCAGGGTAAATTAGTTAAAATTATAATACTTAATAATTTGGCTTACCACAGTGCTTTCCTTGCCAAACCAGGTGCCCAAAAGATATTCCTCTTTGTCATTTCCAGGAAAGCTATACTGAAAAATATAGCAATCTCCACTATAGAACTTTGACTGTTCAGAAGATGACAGAAGATATTTTTCATTCCCAGTTACTCTCCAAACCTATGCATTGAATGTTGAAGCCAATTGTCAGCATTTCAATTTCAAGTACAAGGTCTAATAAAAATTCCAGATGGATTAAAATTTAAAGTGAAAGCACGTCACTTTTAACAACCAAAATAAAAACAAAATAATGGTGAACTAAAAGTCCATAGAAAGCACCTGCAAATTGCCGGTGCAATCAATATATGGTTGAGGTTCTTCTTTCACAGGAGAAGCTTTCATGAGACCCTTAACATTTACACCTTGGCGTTTAAGAAGTGCTACACAAAGCAAACACTACTCAGCAAGTTACCCATAAAATGCATCAATAAATAAAAACTCATATTAAAAAAAGAATTTTCAATTTACCTGCCACTTTGCCTCTACCATCCTCAGAAACAGAGACATCAGCAGACCGTGGCCATGCATCAAACTTTGCACGGAACAATGTAGTCTCAAACCCCTCAATGACACGAATTATTTGAACTTTTAATCTACCAGGACCATGACTTAATTCCTAACATAGATTTGAAAGTAAACATGAAATATTAATGAGACAGTAAAGCAAATTTCATGCAATATAATAACAAAATATAATCTTACTTCAGCACACGCACTGGCACTTTTCCTTTCTTCAAGAGAAGTACTTCTCCCCATCCACACAAATACTTCAACGCCACAATCAAGTAGATAACACTTGTTCGTGTTCAACAACTCTCTTGCCAATTTATCAGCGACCACAGGCACTGGCTGCCCTTTTTCAATACTAAAATAATATGTTCCCATCAGTTACAAAAATTAAAACACAGAATCATTAACACTATCTCCCAAGAAGTTGGGGTCGAATTTTCCAATCCTTGGATGTCATGCATGCTAGTTAAATAATGCAAGAGTTATTTACACCAGTTTAATATCAAAAAATATATACATAAGGGTCCAATATTCTCTATTTTGGTTGATCAATCAGCTAAATAAGCCACATAAATCCAGCTTCTCATAAAGTAATCATAAGTAGTCAAGCTAGGCTACAAAGAAGTTGAACATTATTCAAAACTTCTAGACTCCTTATCAATTAGGCCGAATTTCATCCTTTTATTTAATTAGCCTGAATTTAACAAGAATAAAAATATACTTATTTGTACTTTAGGTAATAAGAATAAAGATAGGCTCGTCTTTAGGGTTTGATTATCTTTATAAATAGAACTTCTTGTATACAGTTTTAGATTATTATTGAAAAATAATTTGTTTGTTTCTTCCTCTTAAGAAAGTCTCTCATCTCCAATTGGACAAAGATAGAGATACTATTGAGGCAAAAATATTTGGCACTCCATAGAATAAGTCTTACTGAGGCCCGTTTGAATCATATGTAAGGTTCTCAATCAATCACTGATTACCTTAATCAACTTAAAGAGCTTGTTTTATGGTGTGGGATTTCTCATGACAATTGGCAACTGGCAACTATATTTGCCAATACTATAGAGTTAGAGGTACATTTAAACAATGCCAAAAAAGTTGACAATGCCTATAATAAGGTGCTTGAGTCAGAGGAACCATACACTTTACACTTTTAACCCTCAAATTGGTTCTACAAAACCATCAGCACTTCCACTTAGATTGCAAACTCCAGATCTACGCTAGGCTGACCACATCCTTGTATGGCCAAATGGCAAGCCTTGGTTTCTAAGCCTCCGTTTGCACCACAATGAGTGTGTTAGATAGACTGCCCTCTATTACGATCACTTAATTCACCTAAAGGACAATATAAACAAATGACGCCCTAAATTGGTCTTCTAATGAATCAAGGGAATGTTGATTCCAATAACCCCAATGATGAGGATGAGGATGCAATGGATGATAAGCCATTAATTGATGAGGAAGTTCACGCTTTCAACAACAGCCTTACACAGTTGCATATTACAAGCTGCATTTTTACATGCCCAACCACTTTTAAGAATTATAAAAGCATTAACATATTATAGATGTATGACATTAAAAAAAGGACAAATAAATTGGAAATGTATGATTAAATACACTTTAACAATTAAACAGTTATTTAAAATTTATTTAATATCATTCTACATATAACTAATCTTCCATTTACTAAACAAATATACCGTTCACTATTTTACTTCGCTAATCTATACGTGCAACAATTGATTAAAACATTGGACGATTTTGATGTTGTAAGAAATAATAGAATTATAACACTACTTATATGAAGACAACCAAGCACAACATTCCATTCATTAGATTCTCATTTTCCCTTCACGTGATTAGAAAACATAGAGCTGGGCCAGAGGAGGAGTCTGAGCGTGGTGTATTGGGTCTACTAAAAAAATCCAATTTTTTTTAATTTATCGGATGAATTGACGTTTGATCGGGGTTGGTAGGATTAAAAAATTCATGTGTAAAAAGTTTATTTTAAGGTTTTTTTGTAAAATTTGATATGATAAATTAAAAAATAGCCACGATATGAAAATTTTATGATTTCTAAACTGTATCTAAAAGGCTGAGGCTTCATAGCAATTGATGGGAAGAAGTTGATCCAACTGCAAATCTTAGATCAATGTAAAATGAACTAGTTTAGGGAAGGGAGCAAGAATCCTTTATTCTAATACATGTAAATTCTTAAGGCTCTGTTTGGTCGAGATCAAAAAGAGTGCAATTGTATTCCTGTAAAATCAAAGCAATCCTAGTGTTTAGCCGGAACAAAAACAAATGCACTGTAAAATGATCATATATTTTAAATTTATTATTTAGTTTAATTTCTCTATATTTGAAATTTGTTGTATTTTAGCAAATTTCAAATATATTGCTTTATCTAAAATGTTCTCGTCGCCAACACCGAGTGCCAGCACAGCAGCCCGCAGCTCACAATCCAATAGTTGTTATCGACCGTTGCCCAAAGCCAGCTGCAATAGCCGCTACCCCACCGACTGCCTGCTGCCCAAAACCACCGCAGCCCCACCAATCACAGTTTCTTGTCGCTGCCCCCATTGGTCGTCTTCTCCTAGTGCTGCCCGCCAAAGGCCTTATTTAGCCGCTAACCCTGACAGCCCTCCTTCACTATCAACCATCAATCAATAGCCACTGCAGTCGTTGTTGACCACCAATCACCATTAGCCACCTATTGTCACTAGTTGCCACCATCCATAACCGTTGGCAGACATATTTTAGATTGATTTCATTTTTCTTCAAATCAAACAAAAAATATATATATAAAGGTCATGTATTTATTTTACATTGAACCAAATAACTCCAATGCATTCCGAATACAATAACAATCATTACACTCTATTCATTTAAATTACATTCTTTTTACAACAAACCAAACAACTCAAAAATGTAATTATAATTTTATATAAGATATGTACTAAATAAGTCTTTATATTGCAAAATACATGTTTTAATCCTACCATTCATAATTAAATGACCTAGTATCAATTATATGTTATGCAAAACACATGTTTGAAGCATATGAGCATGCCAAAGTTTTATTATAATATATTTTAAAAACATAACACCATAAATCTATTAGTATGTTCATAGTGAATGATATATTTATATATTCTAAAATGGAAAAGGCCATGAGTTTGCAGAAACAGTTGTGTTATAGGATAGGTTGGCAAAATTCATGAAGAAAAAAGAGCCCTCAACCTCTCAGTGTTCATTTGAGAGATAGTTCAATAACAATATATTGGATTACACCTAGGTCCTATTGATACTTAATATGTTAATTGATGAGTTAGAAAACAACCTTATGAAGATATGTGGCATGGATTGTCATAGAATTAACTACCATATGATGGCTAAGGAATCCACATATGACCTATTCTAAGTCGATGAGAATGTATCATTTAAAATAAATAAAATATGCAAATGAATGTTATAATGTGATAGATGTTGGGTATAATCACCATTTTTAAAAAATCACTTTGAAGTGTGTTTCCTGCGCAATGCAATGCAAAGCGCCTGCGACCCACTTCATGTGGTGTCACGCGAACACTGCATGTGAAGCACACTTTTATCTCATGAAATGCTCCGATGCACTGAAGCGAAGCGGGCCAGAGTCAATTTGTGAAACAGCAGAGAGGGTCCACGTCGAAGAAAAGCTGGCTTTGTTTGGCTTTGTTGTTTAAAGAGAGCAGATACAGGATCGAGCGCTTACTATTTGACTTCAACCTAGGGTTCGAGAGAAGCGTTTCAATTACTAATGCAAACATATAGGGCCTATGAATTGTATTTTGGCAATCAACTATGAAGCAAACGGCAATCAATTCAACACATGAAGGAGACGCAGTAGAAGGAGCATTCCATCAGACTCATATGCCGCAAATAGTTTATTTCCATCCACAGAACCCATAGGTTGCATGTTTTATTTTTCATTTTATTTATAATATTTATATCATATTTGAAAAAATAATTATTATTGGTATTTAAATACATTTTAATGTTTCGAGTAGTAATATTTTGAATTTTCGTTGCATATAGGTTCTTCTAATGCATCTAGAAAAAATAAAGTTACTGAGTGTGAGAAATACCTTCAGATGTAAAAGATGATTTATTTTCTTAAAGTAAAAATAATTAAATAAAAAAAGTTTATGTCAGGAACATCAGGAAAGGTTGACAAATATTTCCAAAAAAATTGGATATTCAACCACCCTTGCATGGTGATAAGAGAGCACTTGAACAATTTTTTATTCATTGGATCATTTTCTGTTTAAGGAACCTTAAAAAGAGTTTGCAAAAAGAAATAATATGAGACAAATGTGAATTAAAGAAAACATAAATAAAGGAATTAGAAATAGAACTGCGCAATACAAAGACAAATAGTTCTATCGAATAGGAATCCCTTTCAATGTGATTTAGTTGGAGAGTTCGATCATATAATGGATGTAATTGCGTAGTATAGACTAAACTTTCGATCACCATCCTATCATGAATTGAGGATTCATTTATTTGAACATGAATTGCAACGACTATGAAGAATGTAGAAGAATAAAAGACAAAAAAAAAAAAACTGGCAATAGAAGAAATACACTCTTTTGTATGATGGCTGATTGATTGCATAAACATTTTAAAATTAGTTTTTTGGTCAATTCACCATCTGGCACTATGCTTTTGAAGTCAATAGATGCATTTAAATGTTCAAAGTGCATTAAAGCTCTAAGAACGCACAGATGCACAAATTGAAAAGTTTATAATAAAATGTGCTTCAAGTGTTCACAAATAATCACTTGAGTCATATCCTAATGGGTTAATTATATATATATATTATATATATAATATTAGCATTTCATTCTTATAACACTAGAGTCCGCAAATAGATTTTTTGTCACGTAGGTCAAATGCTTAAGGAGAAGAGAATGCACATGAACTGAATACTTTGTGTGGCCCGGCGGTCCATTATATTAATATGATGTTAGAAAAAATTAGTAAAATGATCGTGTTAAAAATGCTATCAAAAACTTTAGAATTAACTAGCTATATATATAATCATAGAATAGTCCTTAATATGACGAGAAAATTGAAGACATAATATCACATAATTTGTAACAACATTTAACTCTTACGAGTATACATAAGCAAAAACAAAATGAAGATTTATGTTTGATTTTGAAGATTGAAACAAGTCCAAATTTAATATTTATTAAAAGGAAAAAAAGAAAGCTAAGGAGCATTTTGAAAGTTATAAACTCAATAGTGACAATGTTATTGTTAGCACATAATGATAAACAACAAATAATGAGTTATATTTATAATGCA